TGTTGAAGTGCACATTTCAGCATTTTATAGTGAATTACATAGTTTTTCTTGTTGAATAAAGTGAGCAGCAGTTTTTTTTCAGACTTTGTATTTGGAACAGTTTGATTTTCAGCACAAAATGGATAATTTTTATGGCTATCATGTAAAATTTGCGGATAGTCAAGATCAACTTCAAACATGTAGCCAACTGGTGAATCATCAGAAATATTTAGAATTTCATCATTTGTGAAATTCTTGTAACACCATTCAAAACCATTAAGCGGCAGGCTTTGCATCATTGAATAACCATAAAGGTTGTTTGCATCTAAATACATTATATAGTTCGATTGACTGTTTGGATCATAATCTTCCATGTATTTGTTATTAGCTTTCGCATACCGTTTGCTACATTGTGAAATACCTCCACGAATTCCTCTTTCAACGAACATTAACATATCAACATCAGTCATCAACTCAATATTCACTTTAGTATATTTTAACATTGCATCGAAAGATAATCCTGGAGCTGTGTAGTAATGAGCTGGATCCAAATTGTAGTTCTCATAGCATGTCTCTCTAAAATTCTCAAAGACATCGGCAAGAAGTAAAATGTCGGTTTTCATATAGAGATCCGAATATTGGCCCAACGTCTTCATTTCAAATTCTTTCCACACTTTACACGCAAATTCATAATCCTCATCAGATACGTCACTTTCATTTAGTTTGCTGTAGAAATCAGCTTTAGATGGTAGAGATTTTTCTTCTAGTTTTTGCCATTGATCTACGAAGTCATAGCAGAATACGCCCTTCTTTTCCAACATTTTAAATCGATTTTCATCCAATGTTCCAAATTGTGAATGAAGATTTTTTTTCTTTTCTGATGGTAGCAGCGAAGACAAAAAGTCGAGTGAAGATGCCATGAATTGAAATGAGTCAATAAATCGTAGCTTAATAAAATCTTTATATTCTTTTGTACGTTCACTTTTCACCGTTTTGGTGAATGAAATATAATTTTGATCGTTGCGTGGAATAACGGAAATGTCACCAGGAAATTTCGACGCAAGTGCAGTAATTATAAAATGAGCATCATAGTTTGCAAGATTGTGAAATACAACCGGAATGTGTCGAGGTACTTTGTAGGTTAAATTACAGCGTGAATGCGCACTTCCACGGTAAAGAGAACTCAGGTGACAATGATCACGAACGGGTACATCATGATAAGCATATTTTTCTTCACAAATGTGACACTCATCGGAAAGTATGAAAAATGCTTCATCTTCTAAAGTCATGTTGAGAGGCTTTTTATCTTCTATAATTTGTTCAACATCGTTAGCGATATTTTTAAGTTCATCAACAAACCAGTCGATACAGTTGGGGCCACGGTGGCTACGATAATAGGATTTGGTGTCATCATATGCACACTTGAAGTAGTAACCAATAGCATACGCCTCATGTTGTTGATATGCTTTAGTTTTCTTTTCATCTTTACAAAAGTTTATTTCAGGTTTCTTCAATAGTGATTCTACGTCAGCATAAATCACAAATGGCACCTTCATTTTATTATTGTAATTCGCAAATTTTATTTCATCCATTAACGGCGGCGGCATCTGAATTTGACATTGGTTTTGTTTGAAGCAATCTACTCTATGCGCATTCAGTTGCTCTATTTGGCTGAAATGATTCAAACATCGATCACAAAATATTTTGTGATGATAGTTTTTCGATATTTGTCGACACAGTAAAGCACTCAAATTCTTAATCCAACAGAAATGCATTTTTCGTTCAGAAAAAATTCCTTCATCACCTTCATAGCCGTCGTATTTATCGCTTGTTGTTTCAGTGAGTAACAACAAATGGATATGCTTTATTTTAATTGATTGTGTCAAACGGATCGGTCTAATGGTGAACGATTGTTTATCATACATGTAAACGTTTATAGAGATGGCCGGATTCAATTCTTCAAATTTGGAAATGTCTTTTAATGTCACAGGAAATTCAATGCCGGTGAAATTCAAATCTTTTTCATATTTTTTATACTTGGAAACACGTTGAGCATTTGTAACTGCAGGATATAGTGCTGATAACACGGCATACTTAAAACATTGATTGTCACTGTTTTGTACGTTTATAATAGCTCTCTTTTTCTCAAGAAAAGTCGGCAATTTAATGTATGATGAACCTCCAAATGGATCATAACGACTAACTTGCACATTCAACTCTTTAATCTCGGAAAGTTTGAATCCAGATCCACGTAACTCAATATCATCAATTCTATGTAGGATGACATCAGTAACATATTCATTGTAGAAAGATCTCAAATCATTATCAAAATCTAACATCTCAACTCTTGTATGCAAGTATAATGTTTGTGTTTCTTTTTCAACACCTTCGAATGTGATTACTTCTTTTTCGAATACACCAACAAAACAAAAACTAACTTTTATTATATAATGTTCTTGAAGCAATTCACTTATTCGTTTTTCACATAAATTAAATGCATCCTCAAGAAATGGTTTAATATCAATGTGTCCATTATTTACAATGGAAAATGTTTGTAAACGGTTTTGAAAGGCGAAATCTCGCTCTTCAATTTTCACTAACTCTTGACTCATGATTGTATGAATATCTGAACAGAACTGATGATTAGAACGCAAGCACATATTTCTTATATAGTCACAAAAAATATGAACATCAAATTGTGTCATTAACCTCAGTTAGAAGATGCGAAGGGTGCGTCACTTATAAGTGGCAAACATTACGAAAAATCAGTTGTCATTGGTTGTCATTTTTTGAATACTTTTATATTTACTACTAATATTTTTCATAAAATAGCTGGATAATTTTTTGCACATGGATAATTTTTTGTTTTGCATACGTTCAATGAACGAAAGTTGTATCATTAAGTTGTGTCATTAACCTTAGTTAGAAAATATAAAAGATATAACGGATATAAAGATATATGAAATTTGAAGTAACCAGAAGTGTACAAAAAATCATATAAGAAATTAAATATAAGACCACGTGTGTTTGTGTAATATATATATTGTGTGTGTGTGCGATCCCCCTTCTCAAAGCATAAGAAATATCGCACG